GAGTGGAGGTCAATCTCCAATTTGATTTTCCTCATATTTCACATCTGGGTTTTCCCCTCTCTCCAGAACTAAAACTTAGCCTTACAATAGGAGACAGTGCCATGTTGCATATTACTCAGTTATAACCTAAAGATTAAATCTTAAAGTGTCTAAGCAGCTTTAAGTTGCCTTCTGTTACTGGACCCTGAAGGTTGTTTCAGTGCTAACTTCTGGGCATCTGTATTTTTTTATTCTAGAGTTAAGAGTTTTTCTTCTATTTTTCTTTGACGCCACTGCTTTATGATGATAAAGTTTGTTCTTAAAAGTATTCAGTATCTCTGAGCCCAGGTAACTCCTACTAGTCCTCATAGGGTTTCTGTCCTTATTCCGACCTTCGTTCTAACAATCTGCTCAGCCCTCCCAGGCCCCTCCTAAACCCAGGGCCTTACGTTGCTTTTGCAAGTCTTCCACCTCAGAGGAAACATAATTCATGAAAAGACATACCTTGGTATGTCCACCTGAATGTCCGCGTTGCTCCCTTCATTTTCCAGTTTCTCACCACAGAGTTTTTCTCATATGTTAGAAAGCCCTCCTGTACTACTTGTTGGGCTTTTGATTAGAGGTCCGAGGATTAACTTCCCCTTGGACACCATGGTAGTTATTAGAGTTGTTCACAGATTTTCATGTTCTCTTCTTTCTGGTCATGTTGGATAGCGTTACATTTCCCCTTTCTCTCGAAGTTAGGTTTAGCCATGTGACTTCTTTTGGCCAATAACATGTGAGTGGAAGTGAAGCATATTGCTTCTCGGAGGAAGCATTTTAATGGCTAATACAAGACACTGTAAACTAGCAGTTAAATTTTATGATCCCTATTGTGGTAATCCTGAAAGCACGTATCTCAGTGAAGCCTCCACCAGTCTGGGCACTTCAGTGATTACAATGAGCAGAGTCCATGTAGTGGATGTTGTACTGAACTCCAAGATTCACCATTTAGAACTGAAACACCATCTCTCCCAACTGCTGGAAATATTGGTAGCTGACAGTCCTCAGCTGTGTCCCTCTCTGGAGGTGTTGCTTTTGGATAAAGACAGCCCTCTCATCCAAGGAGCACCTCCCTTCCCTGGATGCAGCCTGTATCCAGTGATGGGTTGATGTGAGGGTATAAAGACCTAGCCCCTTGCCTCAATTTAGGACAATGTTGAAGGGCCATGCTAGTGCCAGAGCTCTGCAGAACTGGCTGAAGCCTCAGTGGTAACTATGCTGACAACTTCTCCCTCTGACTGATCTTGTAACCCGCATTCTTCAGAGATTGTTCTTGAGAGCATTACCCCAAAACCTCCTATATGCAAATCTGTTTCAGTGGTTTGGTTTCCAGTGAACCACATTTGTGATAGGCTTCCTAACCACTTGTATCAAATACGTAACATGTGTGAGGACTAAATTTTGTTGTAATAAGCTGCTGTTTGTTATAACCCAGTTTATCCTAACTAGTACAGATAACAAACTTTCCTGCCCTGCCAGTATCTTTATTCTCGCCTGAGTTTGACTTGTATTGTCTGTCTTGTCTTTCTGAACAGATTGATTGCCAAGTTCTAGTTCTTCTCTGATGTTATTTCTCATGAGTGAACAGCCATGTCCCAGCTGAGATATTACAAGGAACAACAAAAAAGGGAAGGGGGTTGTATATCTAGTTATCTACTGCTTATTTATTATCAAGTTGGTGGCATAATTTTTTCATGTAAATTTCCTAGGACTCTTTCTTCTTTTCTATATAACTTATTATACATTTATAACATATACAAGGGTACACTGTTTCTTAGGAGAATTTTTGTGCAAATAAAAACTAATCAAATACTTAATCCTAATTTGAGAAAGTAAAACAGTATACTACCACTGTCTACACCTCTGATGTACTTAATTCCTATTACTCTGAGTGCTCAATCTTATTTATTTCTTGAAAATCAAATGGTAAAAATAATTTTGGGTCTTTGGGCAATATATATATATATGTATATATATATACATACATATACACAGATATACATACACACATATATGGTGTGTGTGCTCAGCTGTGTCTGATTCTTTGCGACTCCATGGACTGTAGGCCACCAGGCTCTTCTGTCCATGGAATTTTCCAGGCAAGAATACAGGGGTGGGTTGCCATTTTCCTCCTCCAGAGAAGCTTCCCGACCCAGGGATGAAACCCTCCTCTCCTGCATTGGCAGACAGATTCTTTAGCACTGGGCCCCTGGGAAGCGAAGCGCGCCTTGCGAGCGCGCACACACACAAACACACACACCATAAAGCTAGTGAACCAAAGCATATGCTCCTTTTTTTTTTCTTCTCTGTTTAAAGGATTTTACTACAAAAGACCTCTCTGCCTTAAGGGTAAATAGTATAAAAATATTTCCACTAAAAAGGGTCTGAGAACTCTGAGCTGGGATTACCACAACCCCTAATTATATAAGATACTTAGTATGATAACACCAACTAGTGTAAGGAATGTGCAGATTTATTTACATCAAGTTCAGATAAAGAGATAAAAGGGGACTTGAATAAGCGAGCAAAGATTAGGACTTCAGGAGTGGATATTTGAAGGTATCTTTGGAACTGCCCCTTAGCTACAATGAAAGACCAGTAAAACCAGCCTTCAGAATAACCCTTCTGCTTAGTAGGAGAAGGGAAGGCTAGAATTCACCTCTAAGATCGCCCTCCCACGCAGATTTTCCACCTAGCAGCTAAGAATTAAACCCAGACTTCCGATCATGGCGCCACGCACGTCACCTTCTCCCTCTTCGCCTAGCAAAATCCCACCCAAGTCGACCAGATCCTGCAGGAGTGTGTAGAAGCTGCAGGGTCGGGGGAGAATTCCCTTCCACAATCCTGGTTGCTTGGGGTTTTGCAATTCAAAAAAACCTGCTAAACAGATCCAAGTCAGATTCAAAGGAGGCTTAGATACCAGCAAGACCTGCTCTTTCCCTTGGGTGCGTAGACTCGACCCAACTCTTCACCCTGAGACGCTACTCCTCACCGCAAATTTCCTTTCAAATGCCTTAGGGGCTTCCAAGATTCCCAGCCTTTGTGAATAAAGGCCCACCCTCGAAGTGGAAACCTCGCTGCATAGAGAAATATGCACAGACAGCAGGACAGCGAACAGAATTGTAAAAGAATGCGTTCTTTCTAGCTTTGCATCCTTTCGAATGTTCAATATTCCTGTTAGCCAAGAAGGGTTCCGGTAATGGGTACTTGAGGGAAGCAGGCCACCGATTAGAGCAAAAAGCATCAATACAGGGGTGGTCTTTCCAATTCCGGCTTTTGTTTGAGTCAGTGAGGGTAGCCCGAGGACGCCAAAGTCTCTGGTTCTGGGAAAGGCGGGTCCGTCCCGATTCTTTGAGCGACGGAGAGGCAGGCGCCGGCCCCAAGAAACAAAGGGGGTAGTTCTGCCCCTCCAGGCTTTTACTCCAGGAGTCCCAAAGGACTCGGAGGCTAAATCACCGAGCTCGGAAGAGTTTGCCAAAGGTTGGACAATAGACGCGGCTGCCCTCTCTTAAGCACACAAATCCCACGCGTGCTCGTCTAGAAGGTATGTGAGCGTCAAGGAGAAAGGCCATTGCTGCCCGTCGCGGGCGGCCAGCCCCGCCCTGCTCTCGGTGGCTGGGGGGAGACTCGCAGCGCGAGAGCCCCGGAGTCAGCCTCAGCAAGCCCGGGAGCGAGGGGCGGGGCCGGGCGGGGCCGCGAGCGCGCAGGCGCAGTGCGGGCCTCGTCGCGCCGCCGCCGCCGCTGCCGCCGCCCGCGCTGCACCACAGGCCCGAGACAGACAGGGCCGGGAAGAGCTGGAGACGGAGGAGGAGGCGGAGGCGGAGGCGGCGGCGGAGGCGGGGCGACTCCGGTGACCGGGAGCGCCGCAGACTGGCAGCTGCGGCGACTCCCCCCTTTGTGTCTGGTCTGCTCGGAGCCTCTGGAAGTGCTTCCCGGAGGGGCGCGGGGTATCTCGCCTCCTCGCTGCCCACCCCCCTCCCTAGCCACCTACATCCGCCCTCCCGCCGCCCCCCGCCCTCGGCCCGCGACACCCGAGCTCCGCCCGGAGCCTAGAGCTGCGGGAAAACGAGGCGGCGGCGGCGGCGGCGGCTTCCTCTGGGGAGGGGGTTGTGATTCGCTCACAGGAGCCCTTGAAGGGAGAAGACGAAGCTTTTACGGCGGAATTTACCTCAGGCAAGATGGAGCGGCAGCAATAAAAAAGAGAGCGAGCGAGGAGCGCACCCGGGAGGGCTAGGAAGGGCAGCCTGCCGACCCCTCCCCTCCCCCGCTTCCCACCGCCCCTCAGCCCTCCGGCCGGGACCTGCCCAGCGCTCGCAGGATTGTTCCGCGAAGGCGTGAAGGCGGTGGTTTTGTCCATGGAGGCAGGCACCTTTTTCGATCCAGTCGAGGAGGAGGATTTGCTGTGCTCAAGACCGGAGTGAGGGAAGCACCGAAGCGAAACTTAAAAGGATTCTTGCCCCTTCGGAGCACAGGCGATGCGCCTCGGGTCGCCCGGCGCCGCCGCCGGCCGTCCGGCTTCGCCCTTCCCGGCAGTCAGGAACTTGTTCTGATCCTCGGCGCCCCTCGAATCCCCGCTGCCCACCCGTCGGCACCCTGGATATGTTTTCTCCCAGACCTGGATATTTCTTCGATGTCGTGAAACTACGGGGGAAATAACTGCGGGGCTTTTTTTTTTTTTTTCCCTCTCGTCTCCGTGCTTCTCCCCACGGACATGCCTTCACTTTGGGGCGCCGAGGCACCCAGTCCTGGGCAAATGAACACCCCCAGCCGCGAGGGAGAGAAATGAAGGGAATTTGTGCAGCGGAATGAAAACTCTGCCGCTCGGTCCTCTCCTCTGCCATTTGTCCTTTCAAACTGCATTGTAATACGGGCCGGAGAAGTCCGACGAGAGCGAGGACTAGCCTCCCGGCCGCGTTTCTCCGCCCGTATTCACTTTCCGTCTTTCTTTTTCTCTGCTCTCCTTCTCGGCTGACCCAGGGATGACTTCGTCTCCGCGGCGGCCCCGGCGGGTGCCCTCGCTGCTGTGGACCGTCCTGCTGGTCAGCGCTGCGGCCGGTGAGTCGCCCCGGGTGGCGCGTCCGGGCCACTTCCCTGCGGCTGACGGGGAGCGAGCCCGCAGAGGCCGAGGCCTGCGTTCGCCCTTCGCCGCGCGTCCCCTGATTGCCCCGGACCTGTCCCGGTCCTCCCGGAGAGCTGACCTTCCACGTTTTCGTGGAGTTTCAAATCCCCACACCGCGTATTCCCCACCCCCACTCCCCCCACCGGGGCGGGGGGGAAGAAAGACACTTAGGGTGTGGTATCTTGACATTTTTAGCTGTGAGGTAATGCAGGGATTAAAAATAATATTTTAATCACCAGCGAACCGTGCCTATTAGGAGATCTTTGGGAACAGACCTGTAGATTTTTTTTTTTTTAATATAAAGGAGCAGATTTGGCTGTAAGTAGAAAGGACATCCACTGTAGAACACACACTTGAATCTTATTTTTAGATGTAGATCACTCTTTGAGAATCCCTGGTGCTTTGATTATTCCAAAAAATGTTGAGGAAGGCAGAATTGAGAGAGTCTTAGTACATTGTATACTACTGTTAATCGTTTTTATCATTATTTTGTTTTGAAGTATATTAGTAATTTTGATCTTTTACGTCTGGAAAGGCATATTTTGTATACTTTTGGAATTACTTTTGGGCTTAGAAGTGTTTTCGGTAAGTTTTCCTTTAGTCATCTGGCTTTCTATTGGCTTTCCTGTCATTGAGGCAACTTTGACCTGACGTCAAGACTTCTAGGAGATTTGAGTCCTGAAAGTTCTTTTGACATTTTACTGAAGCTTAAAGGGAAATCCTTTCTTTAGGATATTTTGTTCTTAGTTCTCAGACACCTTTAGGAAAAAACCTCGTTTCGTTTGCAGTTACTTTTCAAGTCTTTTGGTGATTTGCTTTTAGAAATTTTAGGGAGTGAATTATGCATATAATTCTTAAGTTGGGTTTAGGATGGCCAGATAGATTATACATTTAAAAGTGAATAGAGGACAACATAACACCTTTCCAGTTATTTTTTCTTAGTAAGTATAATTTTCGCATTCAATAAATTTCTCAATGCTGTGTTAGAATTGGAGATTTCATATTTCCATTTGGAAAACACTGAAAAAAATTTTGAACTTTTGTGCTTTTAATATTGTTGATTGATGTCTACTATGTTTATGATAGTTGTGTTAAAATAATATGAACTTCTGAATTTATTTTAACACTGATATTTTAATATTACTAATTATCACAGTTTCTTTTGGGGAAAAGTGAATGATTTTTCTCTAGATTACTTTATATTGTGTTACCTCTTTAAATTCTCTAGTATTAAGCCATGTGGTTGGTCCCTGTAAAATATGAAGACAGTAAAAGGCCTTAAGTTTAAGCAGTCATTCTAAGAGCAGAAATCTCAGAGCATACACTTTTCAGTGTTGGTTTATTCTTGACTTTTCTACAACACAGATTCTAACTTATAGTTGACAGAATTATCAATTTGTGATTAGAACTGATGAAAGTAAGAGAAGGATCAATTGACTTAAAAAAAAAACCACATGATTTCTGTTTGGTAAATGAAATATTAGAATAGTGGTCCTTAAAGGGATAGATTAAAGTAATCACTGTTTAAAAGTGATTTTAGTCGTCTTTTTTCTTCAGTATTACTAACTACCAGTTGCTAACATTTGTGAAGTTGGATTTCAGATCTGTGACAATAACAACAGTATTTACTGAGTGCTAGCTATGTGCCAGGAACTGTTCTAGTAGCCTTAGATGTATTTTCTTATTTGATCCTCATGACAGTTCTTTACTCCAGGTTCAGTTATGGTCCTTTTATAGAGAGTGAAGTACTCTGTGCATCCCCATGGACGTTAGCCCACCAGGCTCCTCTGTCCGTGAAATTCTCCAGGAAAGAAGACTGGAGTGGGTTGCCATGTCCTTCTCCAGGGGATCTACCCGACCCAGGGATTGAACCGGGTCTCCTGCATTGCAGGCAGATTCTTTACCATCTGAGCCATTTGGGAAGCCCGGAGTGAAGTACAGAGAATTTTAATAACTCACCACACGGTAAATTGTGGAGCTAAAATTACAACCTGCACCCTTACCTACCATGTTAATGAAGGCAACAACTTCTCAGTCTAATTGGGAACATGAGATAGAGTTAGTGTCTTCAGATTAACCTTTGAAAAGAAGCCGGGACTCTTGACAGGATCTTAGTACCGCACTTATGCAAATGTCATGGTTCTAAATGTGTAAAACTTTGTCTAATATTGGAGTGGTTAGTGCAGTTTCATTAAGTGTAAGGTAGCTACAGAGGGCCTGTGTGAATTTGGGATGTACAGATGCAATGATGTAACTAGACAGGTGCACATGGTGCAGCTGAACAGGAAAATAATACTGGAAGATTGACATCACATCCCTCTATGGGGTCATGGATAAATCCTATTTTTTTGGGGTCCCTCTTTCCCACTTATTCTATCTAGTTCTTGGATCCTTAATTCTAAGAAGAGTTGGTATGCAGAAATTAGAATTTATAGAAAATACATGCTTGTTTGGTTTGTAAATGAAGTCTTAATTTTAATAAAAGGATGCGATATAATGTAATACCTATTTAAGAGTCAGCTTCTGTTAAAATTTTTTTAAAATTTAAGTTGCCAAGCTGTTCATTTAGGTTGTAATGGTTACGAATAACAGATCTAACCCTGTGTCCTTCCCCACCATATGCAGCCCATTGAGCAGACTAAGCTACTCTTTATTTCCTCCAGTCTTTGTTCTTGTTTTCATCCTTCTTGTCCTTCCTGCCATCTTTGTTGGCCTTGGAGGCCAGGGAGTCTGTGGTATTTTGAATGGTCTCATTTTGGGGATCCAAACCTGGATGGTTCTCCAGGACCCAAAGGATTTCGGGAGTCCTGCATCCTTTCTTAATCCTCTCTCCTTGTCTGGCTCAGTTGTGTCCATGGCTTAGTTGGCACCCAATTTAGCTGATTCTGCCTTATCGGTGTCAGCTGATTCTTCCTGCATTTGAAATAGTTCACTTGACTAGGTTTCAGTTTAACATACATCTCTTCAGCAACACACACGTTGTCTACAAAAGCTATCATGGCATATGGGTTGTGGTGGAGGTGGTATTGTTGGAGTGGGTGTTGGTGTGTGTGTGTAGAATGTGGGGAGAGAGATGTTTATTCCAGCTTTACTACATTAAAGGCCAACTTTCTTAACAGTGAAAGAGAAAAAATTGATTATTGTTCTCTGATGGGTAAGTTTTAATTATAAAAGGTACAGAATGAAGTCACTGTAAATCAGTTAATTTTATAACTGGCCATATCACTTTTTAAAAAAATATTGAAGTATAGTTGACTTACAGTGTTATGTTAATTTCTGATGTACAGCAAAATAATTCAGTTGTACATATTTCATATTCTTTCCCATTATGCTTTATTATAGAATATTGAATATGGCTTCCTGTGCTATACAGTTGGACCTTGTTGCTTATATATTTTATATATAGTAGTTTGTATCTGCTAATTCCAAACTCCTAATTTATCTCTCCCTCACTGCCTTTCTCTTTGGTCCTCTAAGTCTATGAGTTTGTTTCTGTTTTATAAATAAATTCAGTTGCATCCTATTTTAGATTCCACATACAAGTGATATCTTACGGTATTTGTCTCTTTCTGACTTAAACTTCATTTAGTATGATAATCTGTAGGTCCATCCATGTTTCTATAAATGGCATTATTTCATTTTTTTCTAGTGGTATTCTATCTGTGTATGTACCACGTCTTCTTTATCTATTAGTTTGTTGATGGACATTTAGGTTACTTCCATGTCTTGGCTATTGTAAATAGTGCTGCTGTGATCATTGGGGTGCGTGTATCTTTTCAAATTATAGTTTGCTGTGGATATATGCCCAGGAATGGAATTGCTGGATCATATGGCAACTCTAGTTTTTTAAGGAACCGCCATATTGTTTTCATTAGTGGCTGCACCAATTTATATTCCCACCAGCAGTATAGGAGAGTTCCCTTTTCTCCACACACTTTCTAACATTTATTTTTTTTGTTCTTTTTAAGGCCATTTGACTGGTGTGAGATGATACCTCATTGTAACTTTTGATTTGCATTTCTTTAGTAATTAGTAAAGTTGAACATCTTTTTATGTACCTATTGGCAATCTGTATGTTTGTTTAGGTCTTATGCCCATTTTTTTATTTTTATTTTTTTGTTGTTGTTTTTGAGTTACATGAACTGTTTATATATTTTGAAAATTAAGTCCTTATTGGTCATATAATTTGCAGATATTTTCTTCCAGTTCTTAGTTTGTCTTTTTATTTTGTTTATGGTTTCCTTTGTTGTACAAAAGCTTCTAAGTTTGATTAGATCCCATTTTTGCTTTTATTTATTTATTTATTTTTTTGGCCTCAACATGTGGGATCTTCATTCCCTGACCAGGGATTGAACCCAACCAGGGATTGAACCCATATGCCCTAGAGTAGAAGTGCAGAGTCTTAACCACTAGATTACCAGGGAAGTCCCTATTTTTGTTTTTATTTCTGTTGCCTTGGGAGACTGACCTAAGAAAGCATTGTTAGGGTTTATGTCAGAGAATGTTTTGTGCCTGGTCTCTTCTAGGAATTTTATGGTGTTATATCTTATATTTAAGTCTTTAAGCCTTTTTGAGGTTATTTTTGTGTAGTGTGAGGGAGTATTCTAACTACATTGGTTTACATTCAGTTGTCTAGCTTTCCTAACACCACTTGGTAAAGAGACTGTCTTTTTCTCTGTTGTATATTCTTGCCTCCTTGCTCAGAGATTAATGACTGTAGGTGTGTGGGTTTATTTCTGGGCTCTCCTTCTGTTCTCTTGATTTATATGTCTGTTTTTGTGCCAGTACCATGCTGTTTTAATTACTGTAGCTTTACAGTATTGTTTGAAGTCCGGGAGGGTTATGCCTCCATTTTTTTTTTCTTTTTCTTCAGGATTACTTTGGCAATTCTGGGTCTTTTATCATTCCTTATAAATTTTAGGATTATTCTTTTTAG